CAAATTTCTCAAATACATTGCAAAAATCAAATAAATTTTATTTACAAGCTATGGACCACTAGTTCTACCAATCCACAATTCTCTAACAGGATATGAAAATGAGAGTTTTTCTATTTGAGCAGAAAAGAAAGAAAAGAGGAGAGAGAGAGAGAGATATCAATCCCACTTTGGTGAAATAACCCAAATTGAAAAGATGGAGTATTGCATACTGGTGTTATGTTCCTGTAGAGAGAACAGAGAGCAGGTTTAGAGTTAGGTGTCTCTTTAAATTTCCACAGAAGAAGCAGAAGTTTCTTGCAGATACATCAGTTTCAATGTTTCCCCCAAATCCTCAACAAGAATCTATTTGTCCTGTGACATTTTCTCTCCTCTTGATAGTTTTTGAATGATAAATTCTTTTCATTTCTGCTATCCAAGAGTATTAATTTTATTGATAAGCTACATCAGAAAGTCCTCCATTATTTAGAAAGTTCATAACAACAACTAAGTTTCTGATCTAGAGTACTTACCTAATTCTAATTATAATCCATATTAGTACCTACCTAACTCTAATTATAATCCAGAAGGATTCCACACAGTGTGAATTCCAGCACAATGTGAAATCCTTCAGGATTATAATTATCATCCTATACAATGCAGACTCCCCTTGACCCAGAGCTTGAAACTGATTAAATTGGGGGCAAAGAAAATCAGGATCCCAGGAAGTTATGCAAATAAAATAAAAAGCAGTTTTAATGTTTCAAAACTCTCAAAATCTGCATGTCTTTTGAGTTAGCACTTAAATTTAGTAACACTTAGCCTAATGAAATTATTTAGGATATGTATAAAGATGCTCACACTTGGATAGTAGCTGAACATTAAGTATGTTAGGAAATAGACTAATAAAATATTATGATCTAGGAACCTGTTTTCGAACTAACAAAATGATAAATATTATCCAAATAATCTCATAATTCTATGTAGCATTTTCTTTAAGGATTCCTGTTATAGATGATGAAATAGAAGCTTAAATACATTAAGTAACTAAGTTAAGGGCATCTAGTGGTAAATGGAAAAACCAGAAATCAACCAGCACTAATTAACAACTTTTATTCTTATCCACTACACTTTACTAGAGGACCATGGTTAAATAAAGAAATCATACATATTTATACCTGAAAATTTCACGTGTAATAACATGTTTTCAAAATGTATATCTTGACATAAAAAATCTATATGATAATGTTAGTTTAATTGATAACTCATTGATTACAAAGTAAAAAGAATATATAAGACTCAGAGACTATAAAATCCAGATCCCGGACGAGAACAGTGCAGTCTTTTGCCCCCGCGCCTGGGTGTCCCTCGCCGGGACCCCTTGGAGGGGAGCGGGTCGAGCTTTCCTCCCCGCCCCGACGGGGGCTCCGGCAGCCGAAGACCTCCAGGACCAGCCACCACCATGCTGAGACCACTCTCCGCACACATGAAGGTACTGGCAGAGGGACAAAGCCATGCGGGTTCCGGGGCCGAGACCTCCAAGCCTACTCGAATTGGAGTCGAGGATCTTCCACCCAGATCCTCCAAATTCCAGTAGGCGGGGGTCACACCCACCACCTGGCCCCCTGGCGCCGTGTAATCCCATCAGCGGCCAAGACTCAGAGACTATAAAATCCAGATCCCGGAACCACGTGGCCAAGTTCGCGGCCGCGCGTCAACTTATCAGAACTTTTCTTTATGACATCTTATTATCTCATTCCTACTTTGGACAAACTTGCAGGCTATCGAAAGTAGCCTGCCCACAGGGCAGAGTCTGGCAAACTCCCCGTGGCGTACCAAATATGCCAAATACCAGTAACAATGATGGGTCTCATTCTCCTAAAGAGCCGTGAATATAATCTCAGGGCTAGGATGAAAGAGACGTTACTGGGGCCTGCTCGAGGCAATCGACGATTAACAGGATGATGAAATGAAATGAATATTTCCCACTTTCTAAATGATCCTTAAGAATCAAAATCTATGATCTCCCAACCTATCTACCTTGCTGTTTTCCCTAACTACTAATCTAGAAAGAATACACACACAGAGTTATTGAACATTGACTTGTAGCTAAATGTGTGACATGTTTTCTTTAACTTTTTTGATTATCCTTGCCAATATTCTCTAGCCATTTTCTATAATGAGCACATGTAAGATTCATAACAGAAAAATAACAAAAAAACTGCTTTTAATATGCAACAAAATAAAAACTTAATAATGAGTTGGGTGGTGTTCGTTCCACCCCTCAGATCCAGCAGAGTGCCACACTCCAGAAACACTGACCAGCTGTCTCCCTCCCAATGTTTGTGATCTAGAAGGTGAGCAGTGGGAACCAAATAGAACCAGGATAAAGCAGGCAGAGCCGGATGATAGTGATTGATGGGTGGGTGCATTTGGGACTCAACAGACCTGCTCTGAGTTTCAGTGATGGCAAACTCCAGGTCTCAAGGGATAGGGGATGGACTGGTACTTCTCATCCCCCCCTAACCATGAGACCCCCGTAAGTCACACCCACAAACTGCCTCCAGCTGCTACTTGATGACCTTCTTCCAGAGACACACAAAGGAATCTCTGAAACAAGCACTCGCTGGAGAGATTTCTCCAGACCCTAATTATCTAAAATTTTAGAATTCCAGGAATACACAACCCTTCTTGTGGTTGCAGAACATCTTATGCTATTTATAACAAGCATTACAAAGGAGAATATAGGGGAGATTACCTGCCATAGAATCAGGGGAAGGGGTGGGAAGGGGGGGATACTGGCGACCTTGGTTTTGGAAGATATGCACTGGGTGGAGGATTGATCATCGTATGACTGAAACTTAAACAGGAAAGCCTTGTAACTATATCATGGTGATTTAAATAATAATAATAATAATAATAATAGCACTGTAGCACTATCCTGTGGCACTGTCCTCCTGTTGTTCATCAATTTGCTCGAGTAGGCACCAGTAACATCTCCATTGTGAGACTTTTTGGTACTGTTTTTGGCATACCGAATATGCCATGGGGAGCTTGCCAAGCTCTGCAGTGTGGGTGGGATACTCTCGGTAGCTTGCCGAGCTCTCCGGGAGTGACAGAGAAGTCGAACCAAGGTTGGCCGTGTGCAAGGCAAATGCCCTACCCACTGTGCTATCACAAAAAATAATAAAATAAAATTAACATTCTGAATAAAAAAAGTAATGTGGAGTTCATACCCAATTCAACCAGCTTAACAAATGGCTCAATAAATAGCAATACTCCTACATTTAAAAAAAAAGACCTGCTCAGAAACGTGACATGAATTTCTTCTTTATTTTCTTTTCTTTCACATAATTTCAGAATCAAAACTAATGCAAGGAAAGTAGAGATACTTTCTAGACAGACTTCACCCAGATTTTCTATTTATAAACATTTTCCTACATTTTTCTACCCAGGGTATCTCAAGGAGGTTCCGACTCAGAGAAAGGGGGAGTCTGTGTTGAGGTATTTTGTTTTCCATCATCTCCTTTAAGTGCTCCCCTGTAGTAGAGAACCTCTGGCAGGGACCTTCCTCTTGCAGAGACTGCAAACTTCTTGCCCCACTGGCTCTCTTTGCCAAGAACACTGAGCAGGAGGAAGTGTTGCCTCCGAGATGTTGCCAAGACAGAAAACCCATGTGAAGACAGAAGGAACTTGTCTTAGGAGCATATCCTCAGAAGAAATTAGGCCCACAACTAACAAAAGATCCCCACCTGCAAACCAGCCAAGGAGAGGGCAGGTAAGTCTATCTGTCTTCTCTGTCTCTCTTGTTGGCTCTTTTCCATGGCAAACATTTAGGGACAACCAATCTCATCAGAAAGATTCCTGACATAGTCGTGAAGATTAAGATGCCTGAGAGCTGACGTCAGTATGGAGAGGGCTGTACCTTAAAGTCCTGAGGAGCAAGGCTCATTTCAAAGATTCAGAGTTCTTCAAGTCCAGGAAAGGAGTTATTTCATTCGATGGAGCTCTAGAAGGCCACTAGTAGGGAGAGAGCAGGACCCTGGAGATAAGAGGTCAGTGAAGGGAAGGATGTTTGTGAAGCTCAAGGCCGCCCCAAATGACACAGCACAATAATCTTTTTTCTTTTGGTCAGGGAGGAAATGATTCTTTATTTGGTGGCTGGGGGTGGCACGGGGTGACTCGGGGGAAAGGAGTCACTGAGCCCTATTCACAGGCCATGCCTGTTCCTGGTGAGGGGCTGAGGCTATGCAGACATGACCATGCCACAGGTAGGCACAGGGTGCTGCTGCCCTTACCCCTTGGGGACCAGGATCCCTCCACATTGGTCAGGCTCTACCTGCTCAGGGTCATCCCCACCCTAGTCAGTCTCCTCGCTCATCTACCCCTGCCCCTCCTGGAGAAGAAACGAAAGAGATTTCAAGTCCCACCAGTCACTTTCCTGCCCTGCTGCAGGTGTTAGTTGTAACACCTATGGGGGTCTGGAGGCCTGGTACCCTGGTAAGTCCCTTTGCAGGCCCCCATCTGTCATCTGCACAATGTCCCTTCCCTGAGAACATGCAGGGACTGCCAGCAGCCTGCAGTTCCTCAAGGTTTCTCCGTATCCATTCTTGTTCTTAGAATGAGAAAAACGGTTCCAGGAGGCTGTGGACAGACTGTACAGGGCATCACACAAGTTCTGCCCAGCTCTTGCCTCCCTACGCCCCTGCAAGGACAGAGGCCAGCCCCAGGCCCCTGCGGGAGACACCCACTGGCCTCACCAGGCAGCACATGGCCCAGCCAGGCTTGTGACCTAACACTACATTCTTATTCAACAGAGCTGTCCTATCTGCTTGGTCATAGGCTCCTTCTAATATCTACTCAAGATGTACCACTCCAATGTATACTGCTCAAGACATATCTACTCCAAGTAACCCCCAGTGCTCTGAGAAAAATACTGACCCGTGTTCTGCTAGAAAGAAGAGGAGTTCTGGATTCTGACCACTGTGCTGTTCTCTAATCCCCTCAGCCTTCATCTCCTCCATCATGAACTGGCACTTGATAATCTCGGGGCTTATTGTAGTGGCGCTTAAGGTTGTCGGGATGACCTTTTTCCTGCTTTATTGTGAGTATTTGTACAACCTCTTCTCGCAAGCCCATTTTGTCTTGTTCATTGAGACCGCAAGGGTTGAGAGGCCATGTCTTTCCACTTGAAAACTTGACCATATGCTTCTCACTCCCTGATACACACAGTGACCCGAGTTCCTTAGTCGACACAGGTTCCTTAGTCTACCTTGCAGATGAAAAACTGACCAAAATCTAATGGAGAGAGCCCCAAACAGGTTTGGGGCCACATGAGTGTTAGTTCAATAATCTGAACTGAAGCGCTCAGCAGTGCCTGTTATTATTGTTAGCATTTAAAAATACAGCTCAGATCCCCCAATGATAAGCTGTGGTCTGAGCTATATTTTAAGATGATGAGATTTTTATGAGGGAGAAACTTCCTTCTGTGTCCACAGAAACTTAGACACCTAAATGCTTCTGAGAGAGAGAGAGACAGAGAGACAGAGACAGAGACAGATTGCTTCACAAAAGACTTACAGAAGTTGCAGCAAAATGGAATCAGTGAGTGAAATCTTCCCCACACCCAGAAGCCAGAATGGAAAGTAAAGGAGGAAGGAAATGTGTTGAGGAGGCAGCCTGTGGGTGACAGGAGTCTTTCTTTCTACTCAGTCTGAAAGTGCAATTCCTGACAAGTAAGAGAATGGGAAGAATATCCAAAGAGTGAATTCACTCCTCAAAGAAAACTCATACACAACTCTGCTGAGCTGGGCTGGCTATTCCACAGGAATGCACCCAGAGCCTCCAAGCTCCTGTGTGATGATGATTAGACTCAGCCTGCTGCTAAGGTAGAGGGTGAGCCAACAGTTGATTTTCTTTACAGTTCCACAGATTTTTGGTGAAGGTGACGTCAACTTCACCCCCACAGGAAGCTATGGAACAGGTAACATGCATGGCAAATGTTTCCTTTCCAGTTCCAATGTGCCCAATCCTGACAGGCCTTTCTTAAGGGTGACTTTTCCAAGAAATTCTTTGGCATGAAGCATCTATGCAGAACTGCTAATTGTACAGAGTAGATGAGTGCGTTATGAGATCTTAATGTGCAGCTGTTAACTATAGTTTCCAATACTCTAATCTTGAAAGTTGTAAAAAGAGTGAATCTTCAATGTTATTATCATGCACACAGATAATGTTAATTCCATGAAGTAAAGGAGGTGTTAACTGACCCTGTTTTTGTAATCATTTTACAGTATATGAAATTATCACATTGTATGCCTTAAACTTACACAGTGGAAAATAGAGAAATGGGTACGTCTGGGGTGGAAGGGAGGTCTTTTAATCAATCCCTTTCCTTTTATACATGGAAAACTAAGAGGGAAAGTCTGGGTGAAATTTCTATCTTTCATTTTCTTTCAGGGAATGTAGATCATTGATTGCCATGTGATGTGAAAGTACTTTATAAACTAACATGTTTTACACCTAAAGGAATTGTTAGAAAGAAATCTGCATCTATCCCATACAAGAATAAAAGATTGCTCTCTTTATGTGCCAAACCCTGTTTGATAGGCCATAAAAGAATAGTAGTAGGAGTAGGATTCAATTATCACTGATGAAGCACCAGGCTGAAGCAAGAAGTTAGGAGGGTTGAGAGGTGAGTGGGCTTGGTTCTTCCTATTAGACGACCTCTTGAAGCCTTCTCTGGGGCTTCCCTCTCACTGCCTCATAGGACACCTAACACTATATACACTTTCAGGAGAAAGAGAATGTCTTATTCATCTTTTTATCCTTCAGGGGTTCCTAGTATGGTGAGCTACACAGAGAAAATGCCTGTGGCATGTCATGGAGTTCATAACAAAAGCATTTCATTATCTGTTACAAGTAGTCTTTAATCTAAGGACTGAAAGCCCCCTTGTATGAGTTTGTTAACATGTTTAATAATTAACTTAGTGTCTGTGTGTGCTAGAGTAGTCCTCAACCATGATGAACAAATAATTGGGCCTGCAGAGCAATTAAAAGTACCTCTGAAGTCACTTCAGCTTCTTCTCTGATAAGTTGGTGTTCTCACAAGAAACGTGGACTCTTGGAGGTCTTTCACTTCCCTGGTTTCTTTTTAAATAAATAGGTGCTCTTGTTTGCCCAGAATACTCCCAAGAGAGTTCTGCATTGGTTTCCAGTTGTCTCTGATGCTGGCACTCGCTTCAGTTAGACTTAATCACGCGTTGATAAGAATCCAAAGGTTTCCTGTCCAGAGTCCAAGTTGGCATACAGAATGTGAGCAATAGAAATAGGGCAGGGGAAGATGTGTGGATGGGAGGGGACCAAGTCCAAGCTGATCTTTGGGGATCACTCTGTCAAAGGAATTAGTAATAAAGGATCCTGAGGTTTGAGTTCATCCATTACTCTTCTTTTTTCCCCTTCTGGACCTGGGCACTTCATATCAATTGCCACACCAAAGAAAAACACAAAACAAGATACAGGATTGGGGTGTGGAGCATTCAAATGATACTAGAGACAAATGATGATACTAATTGGATGGAAGACTCGGAGAAACAAAATAGCTGGGAAATTCTGGCACAAAATGACTAAGAACCCTTGCCATGTTATTTCTAAGGGACCTGCCCCAGGCTCCAAATGTTGCTCTAGTGTTGGGGTCCTGCATGTTTCATGAAGCTACCATCAGGTTTTCTTTTCATTTCAGTCACAGAGATTTTTGGGACCAGCAACACCAGCGTCATGCCTACAGAGAGCTCTGGAACAGGTATATCACATGGTTATAGCCTCCTCCCCACTGCCCACAAACCTAGTATACTGTATTTGTAAAAAAAAAATTCTTTCTCATTGCCTCTTCCCCTCTGAAATATTTTTGTTGAAAGAGGCCTGAAAATGTCTTAATTCCTTCGTTTCATGGTTTATACAGAAAAACTGAGATGAGTTTGGGTAAAACTTCTTCCCAGAAAAAGGATGATTTGTATCAATACCACTGTTTACAAAGAAATCCACATCTCACTAGTTTCAATATCCACACCCCCAAACCACTAACATATTTCTCTATTTTCTCTTGGATATCTTTAGCCTGTCCCAGAGGTTGGGATTTTTATCAAGGATCATGTTTCTTCCTGTCTTCCTTTGAGTTAACTTGGAATAAGAGCAGAGAGTTTTGCGAAGCACAAGAATCAACTCTGGCCATTGTCAATACACCAAACAAACTGGTGAGAGAGTGGGATGGGACAGGAACAGAGTGGACCCCACGCCAGCCTCCTTGCAGGGATCATAGGGCAACTGTACTGGTGGAGCACTTGGAGCAAGGGGAGGTAGGGTGGGAAATGCAGAGGAATTGTCTGAGTGCTCAAGCCCCTTGTTCTGAATCTAGGATTAGGTGACCCTGTACAGAAATTTAGGGTTATGCCTCCAATCCATTTGAACGAAAGAAATCACACTCTAAGTTCTCATTCATGGATTGGTTAGTCTAGGGTTGACCAGGACATTTAAAACACAGGGATGGAAAAATTTTTTTAAAAAACCCACAGGATGGATCCAATGAGTCAATGTTTATAAAAGATGTCTTGAGAACCTTTGGAAGGTCTAGAGAGATAGCACTGCAGTTAAGGTGCTTGCATTGTATGTGGTGAACCCAACTCAATCCCTAGCACCACATTTTGTCCCCCAAGCATCGTTAGGAGTGATTCCTAAGCACAGAGCCAAGAGTAACCCTGAGTGTCATGAATATGGTCACCAAACCAAAAAATAAGCAAACAAACAAACAAACAAAACTATAGAATACTCCACTATGGGCTATCAATAGTCATCCCAGTCTGACTACTAATAAGGAAGATGCAAATTAACAAATTATGCCAGAGAGATAGTACTGCAGGTAGGGCATTTGCCTTGCACACAGCCAACTCAGGTTTAATCTCTGATACTCTATATGGTACATTTAACCCACCAGAAGTGATCTCTGAGTTTACAACTGGCAGTGCAGTATCAAAAAAAAAAAAACCACATTAACAAATTAGTTATATTAAAAAAAGAAACAATTCATAGAAAAGAGACTATAGTATGCAATGATTATAATAAAGCTAACACTATGCAAAAAAAGAACTTTATTACTTCATTTCATCCTTGTGATAATTGAGCAGGCATTTTCATATTTTATCTAGGAAGATATTACTAGAGCCCAGAAAAAAACTGGACCAAAGTCAGACTGCTTGAAAGAACCTGAAAGAACCTTGAATTGGACTTAAACTTCTCTAACTCTAAACTCACACTCTGATCAATGTATACCTGTCCCTCCTTTAAATCCTAAACTTTTGCTGTGTATGGCACATTGTGCTATCTATAGCATTCTTACTTGTACCTCTCTTTAAACTTCCCTCTAAAATAAAGTCCTCCTAGATCTAGAATTGGGAAATGGGCTTCTCTGAATCTTGGTCATGAACAAAGTGTAGGCACCAGGATGCTAAAGACACACGTGGACTAAGGCTCCAGGTAGGAAGAGAAAAATGCTTAAGTAGAAACCAAAAACAAGGCAGGGAGAGAAAAGGCAAAAGAAGAGATGAAAGAACAGTGGAATGTGAAGTTTACAACCTTAAGGACCCTACTCTTAAGTTTTCTGATAGCTCAAGGCCATCCTTGGCATTTTCCACCTAATATTTAAATGCGAATCACACATCTCCATCAAAAGATAATCTCATCACTTCAATGACTTGCTTCTGGCACCTGAATCTATATTTTCAGCTTAGCTTTCTCATCTAGAAGATTTATCAAATCCCCCTCTGGTGTTACCGAAGCATCAAAAACTTCCCGTGTTCAAAACTAAGTCCCTGATTTTTCCTTACTACTGTGGTTTCACTACCCCCCCTTGCATTCCAAGAATAGTTATGTCATCCCAAAGAATAGTTATGTCACCCAAGAGGGAACAGTGGTGAGTTTGGGAGATTCACTTGTTTATCCAAATTATTCGCTAGCCAAGCTCTTTCCTTTCTATTCCCACTGATATCTCTCATCTGGATTTCTTCAGAATTATTCTAACACTCCTTGCCAGAGGTTTTACCCTTTCTTATCCATTCCCAAACTGACATGTCATTGGTAGACCTCTGAACTGTGCTGTTTCTATATAAAAGTGAGGGAAAGTCCAGATTGTCTCAAGTGACACACGAGGTGTATGTAGTAAGGCCTCTGCTTTCTCTTCTATCTTATTTCCAATCCACCTGCCCTCTCCCTCTCCACCAAGACTGAAAAACTGCAGCTCTTCCAATGTCCCAGATGGCTCTATGGTCTACCTGGGATCCTGTACTCCTTCTTAGAAGCCCAATTCTGACTCATGCCCTCTCCTACATTAATCTAATGAACAACTATCTCCTAAACTTTATCTCTCGCCACGATCTTACCTATCATCTTTAGAAAACACTCTGTGCATGCAAATCAGTCACTTCCTTCTTGTGAACCCAAAGAAAATTAATTGAGTACATTTGGTGATTAATTTCTAAACAAAATAAAATCCAGTATTTCAAAGAAAGGGAACATTGGGAAAGGAGGAATAAAAGCAATGCCATGGGCTGGAAAGGATATTTATCCAAGTGAGCATAGAAAATCCCTGGTACATGAGTCCAAAACAAAGTGCAGGGACCCCCAAACTTTCCAGTGTTCAGTGATGTTTTTCATGTAGAAACTAAGATGTATTTGATTAGTGTCTGTCTTACAACTACTTAGCACTAATATTTCTTATGGAATTATCTGATGTAGCACCATGCATTTTGTTCGTTTATGTAGGACCACATTTACCTAATAGTGTTTAGAAGTTACTCCTGGGTCTGTCCTTAGAGATCACTCCTGCTGGTACCCAAGGGACCATATGTGCTGTTGGGAATAAAACCAGGGTAGGCCACATGCACAGCAAAACAAGTAACCATTATACTATCTCTCTAGCCTCTGGTAATACACCTTTAAATTTCTATTTTACCTTACCATGGACTTGAGTAATTTCCTTGATTTACTGGAAATAGAAACAACCCTTGGAGTAAAAAAATATCCTAAATCATCCTTTTTTGAAAAGTTCAGTACCTCTTCTCTTCATTTTCAGTACGGTCTCTTCATTTATAAAGCAATATCAAAATCAGCTTGGATTTTGTTAGAAATGAAAATGTTTGGACACCTATACAAATACACCAAATCACAATTCCAGGAATTGCTAGTAAATTTGGTGTACATTTTTCACAAAACTTTTAGGTGACCTGGGTGCTTTGTGTACATTGAGAATAATTTCTCTTGGGTTTATGGTGAGAATCAGCAGTAGCCATCCTCAGAACCCCTTCCCAGTCTTCTTCCCAGCATCATATACAGCCATAGGACCAATAAGGATTATCAATTGCACAGGGCAGATAGCAGCACAAAAACTCTTCATGTAACTGATTTGCTTTTAAATTTCTAGATGTATCTTCAGAACATTGCTGGTGATGAGCGCTATTTTATTGGATTACTATACCAGCATGCAGAGAATCAGTGGCGTTGGATCAACAATTCCATATTCAAGGGCGAGTATGTTAATATCCTGCATATATGGGGGAATCTTGATTTGCCTCCAAAGACCCGACTGAGGTCCAGTGGGCTTGTTCTGAAATAGCATAAAGACTGGGGTTTGGCTCTGTCTTCTATTCTCTCCTTTCTTCCAATCCACCTGATACCAGAGAAACATTTTTTTGTAAATATTTTGCCGTGAAAAATATCAAATATGTCTAAACAGAGAGAAGAGCTTGATTATGGGACAGGAGGAGAGGAGAGGAGAGGAGAGGAGAGGAGAGGAGAGGAGAGGAGAGGAGAGGAGAGGAGAGGAGAGGAGAGGAGAGGAGAGGAGAGGGGAGGGGAGGGGAGGGGAGGAAAGGGGAGGGGAGGGGAGGGGAGGAGAGGGGAGGAGGGGAGAGGAGGGGAGAGGAGAGGAGAGGAGAGGAGAGGAGAGGAGAGGAGAGGAGAGGAGAGGAGAGGAGAGGAGAGGAGAGGAGAGGAGAGGAGAGGAGAGGAGAGGAGAGGAGAGGAGAGGAGAAGAGAGGAGAGGAGAGGGGAGGGGAGGGGAGGGGAGGGGAGGGGAGGAGAGGGGAGGAGGGGAGAGGAGGGAAGGGGGAGGAGAGGAGAGGAGAGGAGAGGAGAGGAGAGGAGAGGAGAGGAGAGGAGAGGAGAGGAGAGGAGAGGAGAGGAGAGGAGAGGAAAGGAGAGCTAGATTGGGAGGGAGAAGAGGGTGGAAGGAGAGATATGTTGAGGAACAGAGGAGAACAGTTGGGAGCAAGTCAAAGGCAAGAGAGACACCATGGACCTTACCCACACATACTCTCTTTTCTCATTTAGAGTCTCCAATATGAACCCGAATTTCAACTGTGTGATCATAGGTTTAACAAATACATATGATGCCGCCTCCTGTGACACCAAACGCCGATGGATCTGTGAGAAGAGGGCCAAATGAGTGTGGTCCTTTGGCCTCTGAGGAGGAGGAGAAGGAGGAGAGAGAGAGAGAGAGAGAGAGAGAGAGAGAGAGAGAGAGAGAGAGAGAGAGAGAGAGAGAGAGAAAATACTTGTGATTGGGACAATGCAGGAGCCTTGGATTATAGTCAACCTCCCACATGTTGCTAGTTAGGGCATTTTTAATAAATTCTCATTTCACACACAGGCCCCTTTCCAAATAAAATTATAAACATTAGCAGGAAACCAACTCCCCATTCTGCACCAGCAATTGCCTCAAGATTCTACCTCCCAGCAAGAGGCACCTCTAATTGGATTAGTCCAGGTCATCAGAGTTAATGATCCCTTTCTCATCTATATATCAAGAGAGGTCCTTGCATATAAAATGGAAAGGTGAGCCTGTATTTTGTCTTGGAATGACCAAGAACAGCCATCTGCAGGAGATATGATCAGTCTAACAGAGACAGTGCAATTGATACCATGCCATGAATGTTTCTATAAAACTGAACATTCCTGATGATCAGTGGGGATTCACTTCTTGCCAGCATCAGTTTTATCCTCAGAGCACATAACGGCACCCAGAAACTACAGACTAAACAGGTGTGACTATTACTCAGAAAAGAACATGAGGGAGAGGAATGAGTTCTTGCAACCACAGCTCTGTTCCTAACATAGTCCCCACTCAAGACAGGACATCAGAGACCCTCTTCAGTTTAAATTGAGGTAGTGAGAGAGGGAAGTATTCCTGGAACTGAGTTGGTTCCTGGTAATGGAGGGGGCTCTAGGTAGAGCAAGGTTCTACTCAGACAACCCAAGGTCCAAGATGACCAGTAATTGAATGTCTGTGACTCACCAAAGTCCTAAAGAGACACTCAGGCATGGCAAATTCTTAGTCTTGACCTAAATTTCCATTTTACCAGATTTTGATCACCTGACTATGTTGGTCTTGTCTATTTTAAGAAATAAGAATCATCTCTTAGGTCCCAGTTGTCACAACATATTTCTGCCTGCATGACTAGCAAGATCCTGCAACCTGGCATGGTCTAGAGACCCAGAGAAGCCACAGCCTTGCACTGATTTGCATTACACTTCCCCTAGGTCCGGTTCAGTGGACTAAAGAGTAGAAAAGATTGACAAATGCAGAAAGGAAATGCCAGAGATAAACAAAAAGTCTTATGCAGAAAGAAGAAGTTTATTTCACTATCCTTGAAGAAAGGCAAGAGAAACGTAGACAAGCCTTGGGGTGTGTTGGCTATCCTGTGCACTTGGAAAATAACCAAGAGTCAATCATCCACCACTTGTGGGGAAGAGAAAAGAGGTGTCTGTGTATTCTAAGTAACATGAATTAAACCATAGTGGAAGGTCGTAAAAAAACAATAGAAATTGTGGTCACCTAAGGAAACTGTTGACCATTCATATATAGAGTAATGTACCCCATGACTGTGCAACGGGAGCAGTGTGTCAGAGAAAATTATTTTATTTTTGTTACAGTACTAAGTTCTGTTCCTGTATTGTTAGGCTTCACAATTTGGAGTTAATTAGCACAATTTCTTGATAGTATGCTGTTCGCACTACTAGAAAGAGGTGGTCAGAGATCCTAGGTGTTTGGGGTGGAGAGGCTGTTTGAATCATGTTTGGCAATCTGAGTGAGTACAAGTTCCTGTGTGTTAGCAAAGAGCAGATGCTGTAGTCAAGGAGTTGAGGTAGGGATGGGAAGGGAGTCTAAAAAAGAACAAAACTGAATTATACTCTAAAGTTAAGCTCCAGAACTCAGGCCAAAGAAAGAAAACCACAGCCGTTTTGTTTGCAGAAGGGAGAACTAAGGTTGCCACACTTCCTTTCCATGACAAAATAAATTGCAGAATCTTCTAGTCAGGAAATGGAGACATCTAGCAATTTCTTTAGTAGACAGTCAAGATGAGGAAGTATTTCTGAGTGAGTTTCAAAAGATGCTCATAGAGACTTATTGTCCGTCTCTCAGAAGAGAGCATAAAACTCACCGAAGTCATGACGCTGGACCCTGTGCCAGGCTGTTCCATTTGGGGCACCCAGGTGGGGCAAGGTGGGGCCCCTCCCACCCCAAAGGACCCAGTCCCAGCAACTGAAAACCTCCAGAACTCCAGCTATGCTCACAGCCTCTCTCCACAAACTCAGGCCAAACCTCACCCACAGGTAAATCTATTCCTGAACATCTCATATTTTCCACCACTCATATTCCAAGAGTAGCGTACCACATTTGATGGGGTTTAAAGTAGACAGCAATAAATCTTAGAGGGAAATATATTTTTACAGATTTATATATATATATATATGGTAAGAGGGCTATAGTGGGGTGGGTGCAAAGAGCATATAAGGCTATGTCCACTTCATTTTAATTTCCTATTGGAGGAATAAGGCGATTGCTGGAATTTTGGAAGGGTAGATAAGTCTGATCTTACTGGTTGGTAATGGATTGTGTAATTTTTAAAGCTATGGAAGCTATTGAATTTAGACCCATTGTAAAACATGTGTCTTGCAAGTGTGAAGTCCTTGGTTCCTTGGTTCAACCATGTTATGTCTCCCAAATAAAAAGTAATAATATTTAAAATTGGAAATTTAGTAAACAGTTGGATTATGCCTTTGTTTCCAATATGCTATGAGAAGCTATGCATATTATCTTTTCTGTATCTTTATCACCTTATTTACAAAGTAGGGAAGTATTACTTATATAATAAAATTTTTGTGTATTAAGATCCTCAGTATGTATCTGATGGTAACAGATAATAGGGAAAGCACTTAGTGAAAGATGTGTCATTGAGATCTTTATCCAAAGAATGGTCTTGATTTGCTAGGAGCTGAAGGTAGGCAAGTCACTTAGTATCTCACAGCCTATTTATTCACATGGGGGGAGTGGAGAGTGAGCCTGAGTGAGGGCTAAATTGCATAGATATCAAATGCTTATCTTCCTACTCTCTGGCTTACATTCCAATTACCTTTTAAATGAGCTACTGGCCTCATCAACAACTTTGGTCATGAGACTGTGTTGCTTCCATGACTGATTCATGACTGGGAATTTTTTCCCATTCATGATCACGACCATCCTGTTGTTTGTCGATTGCCTTGAGCAGGCCTCAGTAAGGTCTCCTTCATCCTAGCCCTGAGATTTTTTTTTAAAAGTGCCATATTCAAGGCTCTTTCAGGGTTAGGAGAATGAGACCCATCATTGTTACTGGTATTTGGCATATTGGGTACGCCACGGGGAGTTTGCCAGACTCTGCCGTGTGGGCAAGTTACATTCGGTAGCCTGCCAGTTTGTCCAAAGTAGGAATGAGATAATAAGATGTCACGGCCGCGTGCTTCCTGGAACTGGGTTTTATAGTCTCTGAGTCTTGACCTTTGATGGGATTACACAGTGCCAGGGGGCCAGTTGGTGGGTGTGACCCCTTCCTACTGGAATTTGGAGGATCTGTGTGGAGGATGCTCATTTTCCCACTTCCCACTCCTTAAAGTCTCCCCTTTGGTGACCTTTGCTTTCTGATGAGTAAGGTTTCACTTCCTGTGCCCCTCTCCACACAGCTGAGTAATAATGCAATTGGCACCCATGATTTCTCCAACATCTTCACTATGACCAGCCAGAAAGCCAGAAACAACAGACATATTTGATAATCTCGCAAGCCAATTTATGGTCAATCTTTCTCAATTTTAACCCATCATTTCATTCTAAGACACTTTCATAATCTGAGCTTGCATGATCACCTTTTCGGTCTTGTTGTTCATATTTAAAGTTAAAATGATAGACACATGTACAACTGCCCAACATGAAAACTAGAACCTTCATCATAATTTGTATTTTCTTATCAAATCTCCTATACAACTCTTCTGTCTTCTCCCAACACAGATAACCCCCTTCCTAATTCCCATGTTCATTATTTAGTTGTGAATTTATATGTCCTAGCACCATAGTACCCAATTTTCCTCTTCATGATATGAACAACATATGACCATCAGTAAATGTTCACAAGAGCTCAAACATTCACAACTTTGTAAGATAATGCAAATTTTCAAAAGATTAAACCCATTTTCAATCCTATTGTAATGAAATGATAAAAACATATGAGAAATTGCATTGATTCAAATGTGACCTAAATCTGCTTTTGCCTATTATGTAATAATTATATATTAAAATTTTTCAATTTTAAATGGAAATTCTGAAAATAAATTTATTATATGTCACAGAGATTCTCACTTATATCTTAAAGCTGATGTAATCTTCCTTATTGTTCTTGCTGTCTTTTAATCAATTATCTACACAGCAATTAGAAATTTTTTTATCAGAACATAAGCTAGTTAAAACAATGGTGGAGGTAACTGACACTAAAGTGAAGAGTGTGGTGTTGGAATATTTTATGCATAAAACCCTATTCACTAGTTTCTGTCCCGATTCTTCAACATCCAGCCATGATTTTCCAATTATCTTCTATAAAGAAGTTAACGGGACTGGAGCGATAGCACAGCAGGTAGGGCATTTGCCTTACAAGCGGCCAACATGGCCGACCCGAGTTCGATTCCTCCGCCCCTCTCGGAGAGTCCGGCAAGCTACCGAGAGTATCTCGCCTGCACAGCAGAGCCTGGCAAGCTCCCCGTGACGTATTCGATATGCCAAACACAGTAACAACAAACTCTCCAATGGAGACGTTACTGTGCCCACTCGAGCAAATCAATGATCAACGGGAGGGCCTTTACTTACTTACTAAAGAAGTTAATCTTTTAAAAGCTCACAAAGCTTTATTTTACCTAACTTCTGTGATCTCTGATTTTATTTTCTCTAATAGTCCCCTTTGTGCAATTCGTTTCAGCATTTTTCCCCGACTTTTTTCCATTTATTGTTTATTATTGTTCACAGCACCAGAATGTTCTTTGATACCTGAATAGCTCACTCTTAGGTCTCTCTTAAACTCTCCATTAAAAACCTATTTTAATTGTCAAGATTCCCAACAGATAATCTTTTCAATTCCTACTTTTCTTCACAGAATTTATGTTTT